CAAAATCATTTATGATGGAATATTATGATATATTATTTGGTGGGAAAAATTTAAAAAAACTGGCAAATCAGATGAGGAGAAATATTTGAAATAATTTCTAGTGTTAAAAGAAAAATATTCAATGATAGAGAGTAGCTATATTCTATCAACAATTATATATTTTAAAATTATTCGAAGAAAATGAGTTACACCTTTGTACATATATATCAGTTTACTACTTTAATGTAGCTCCTGAAAAAGAAAATGATAAATATGTTAGTCAGCGACAAATTACATAAAAATAGTTTTCGACATTTTTGGTAAAAGTAAAAACCTAGATAGCACTTATAACCCCTGAAATGTACAACCAGTATATTGCATTTTATTTGTTTTTTAAATTTTTAGTTTGCTTTCCGTAATAAGCAGTCAACAAAATTATCAGGAATCAATCGCAGCTGATGTGCTAAAATCGAATTTTTAAATCAAATTTTCCTTAAAATTACTAGAGATAATAAAATGCATCATTATTAAAGTAATTCTTATTATAATAAGCTCTTACTGCTAATGTGTAATTCAAATATTCAACTTAAAAATGTAAATTTGTGGGAATAAAAATTTATTGAATAGGATTTACTAAAAGCTTGTTTGGCTTTAAAAATTCTTGTGTCAACATGGTATTTCCAACGTATTTAAGCACATACTTGCATTGTTACAACTCATAATTTTTAATAACAAACGGCCACTAGCACCCAGTAAACATTTTAAAGATTTTAAACAGACAAAAAATACTCTGAAAATAATAATAAGCATAAAAATACATCACCTTTCAATTGCTTTATGATCATTTAGGTTAGGTAGTCCTCCACGAGTTACGCCACTTGTATGGTGTTGACGGCGACCTAAAAATTATAATTGCAATTCAATTCAATTGGATGAGGCATTAATTAAACTCACGTTCACGAATTTTTTTTTTATAATCCGGATCATTTCTACGTTTGCTATCAAAATATATGCAATAACCAATAAATATAGTACCTGCAACACCAGCAGCAATACCAATCACAGTTTTGCTTAGCTCAATCATTCCAATTATTCTACCACTAAAATTTTTCGAATTGTTAAAATGTCAAGAAAATATTAGAATTTCTTCAGTAACCTGAACACAAAACGTCACACGGATAAAATCCAATATCCACTGTAAAACTATATTTATGTTAAGTTTTAATTTTTACTTATTTTACTAATTTGGATTGCTACAAATTGATATCGAAACACATATATCATCAATCCTTGTTACGTTATATTGTTAAACATGTTTTAAAAAATGCATAAAACTGTCTGTTTGACGTGCGTACAAGATTATACTCGCTGCATGAAATGGACAACGATAGGTGTATTCTTTTAACATGACTACTTCAATAGAACTTTTAGTTGATTAAGAATAACTTGGCATCATTGCCTAAATTAGTGAAAAAATGACAAGAAAAAAAATTTTAAACAAATTTGTGATTGATAGATACATGTAAATACAAAATGTCCGCAGATAATTGTATGAAAAAGTTTTTTTATATAAATATATATGAATAACATAAAAAAGTTATTGGTGAATATTATATATGAATTTATATAAATGCACACATTTTTTATGTGTTATTCATGATAATGGACAAAAATAGTGAAAGCTCTTTAGAAATCAATAAATTCTTTTATGTAATTTTCAAACTTCTAGCGGCCATGTTATGCAGAGTGTCTCCGGCTCGATAAAATGCACTCTTTCGGTTTTTGCCGAATATGCATGTTATGCAGAGTGTCACATCAGTATTGCCAATTTCGTATTTTTACAATGTTTTGATTCTTTTTGGTTGTGCCTTTTAAAAGAAAACTTAGATATGCTCACTTTCAATTTGACACCAAAAATAACTAAGAGTACTTACGCCTTTCAGAAAGTGTAATAATTTGAGATTTGGCACAACAACCAGGCAGTCACTGATCTAGAGATTTTGACAGTGGCTTTTTAACACCTGGCAAGCAATAATTTTTGACTTCGTTTTTGACTTGTATTATTCTTTTGTGCATAAAATAAAATTTTTACAAATACAAATACAAATAAATACAAATTTTTGTGTGTGTTAAATTAATTGTATTTGCTTTTTCATACAGTAATAATTTTTTTAATAGCGATTTATAAAATAAAGCTTTGTTGCTTACTGCCATTTTTTCTCCAAAACGTATTAGAATTGTAGTAATTTGGTCCTAAAAGGTGCACATTTTGAAATTTATTACTAAACAACAATCTTTTGCCTGGAGCACAAATACGCTGGCTCACATGCCGGAGTTTGGACGGCCATATTGTGTTTTCTCTCATTCTGAAATTTAAAATTTGCATTGAAAACAACAAGAATTGTACTCATGCAATGCCTGAGGCACTCTGCATAACATGGCCCTAGGTAATACTAAATGAACAGTATTTAACACTGTTCTATTTTTCTTGCAATTGTCTTACAACCTTTTGCTTTTATTATATGTTTTTGTTTTATTGATGTATTCCATTTTTTAATGAACAAAAAACAGAAATTATAAATTCCTTAAATAATTTAACTGTCAGTAATCTTCATAAACTTTCTTTAAAAAAAATACTTTTTTAAAGTATTTAAATTTATTAATCAACACTCGCAATAGTTATAGATAATAAACAAACTTCTCTGGCGTCTGACTGAAATTTTCTATTTTCTTCCACTAATCATTCACAATAGATCAGTTTTAAGATTTGGTACCATTGTAATGCGAGTGGCTTATTCGTTAAGCAGTTTCAGAAAGATGGTGGTAATTTTGCGAATCATGTTTTTGTGTTCTATTGGATTCATGTCAAAAGAATATACCTCATTATGATTATAGTTATCGTGTATTTAAGTCAAGAGGGACAATGATACAATAATATCCATTAGGTTCTTTCGACAGATTTAAATATGGCAAAGAACAAGATGTTCGCTTAAAGTAGCTAATTTGTACGCAAAAGGACATTAAAGAAATATCATTAAAGAAATTAGCGATTAGCTGTAAACCTTTATTGGAATTTTCAACGAACATTTTAATCATATTTCAAAAGTTTGGAAACAAAAATTCAAACAAAATTAAAAAATTTAATAATCTTTTAAATTTTGGAAATGAAATATTTTTAAAATATGCAAAATTGTGGAAAATAAATATTTTAAAAACATATATACACATAAATATATATAAAAATTTATGCGGGTACATGAAGAAAGTATAATTGAAAAGGTCTTTAAGTTTTTGAACTTATTTGTTGCTGTCAAGACAATACTTATTAAGGCATAAATAGAGTGAACTGTTATTAATTTTGTTGTAAAAGATAAAGTTTGCTGTATTCTGAACATTGCTCTAAATAAATTATTCATTTTAATTTTTAATTTTAGTTTAATTATTTATTTTTATACAAAATGTAATTTGTTGCAATATGTGTACATATGCAATATTTGCTCTTTGCGAAAACATAACATTTGACTGATTGGAAAAGTGATGGTAATATCTCCTTTAATGCCTATAGTAAGTAACTTGCTGTTTCTTGCTATACTTAAGAGAAAAAAGGAAAAAAGGATAGATTATGTGTAAATTTCCAGCGGTTAAATTAGCAGTCCAAAGAAAGCGGAGAACAATTACGAAAAGCAAAACGTTTTAAGGACGTGTGCGAGTTAGGCTAAGTTGATGCTAAACCAAATAGGAGATTTTTTGGGATTTTTTGCACTGCACACATTTAGCCATTTATCAACACGTATCGACACATCACTATGTTATCGGCACAACTTAGAATTTCTCTCATTTAGAACGCAACTTAGCGTAACTCGCACACGACTTAAATACTTTACAGTCGGAAAATAAAATTGCTCCATCACTTTTTCAGCGTTTTATCGCTAAAATAAATTGTCGCACCTGACGACATGATGAACTATATAGACGATGTACAATTTGGTAGTGTAACAATGAACAAATTGTACGAAGAGTTGGCGCGTATCTTAAACGGTTTATATAGGTATTGCAAATGTTGCCCTTAACCCACAAAAGTGTGAATTTTTGAAAACTACGGTTAAACAAATTAGTGAGTGGACAGGAGCGACATTGAAATAGAAGACCGTGCTCGGCAACGAATGGTCGGTTTAAGAATTACATGATTTTGAAACGGCATCTCTATCGATAAAGTATAAGTTAGTAGCGACAATTGGTTTTTCGAAATATAGCTTCATGATGATTCTATCAAGCCAACAGTCAAAAAATGGCGATCCAGAAGTAAGCAAAGATTTTATTATCCACTATGGCAAACTGTACAGAAATATGAAAGGTAAAAATCTTTTGGTGGTTCCAAAAGGGCTACGGTGGCAAATTGTTTACAGCGCACTCGATAAAACCGGTCATATTGGTTTAGAAAAAACAATTGAACGAATAAGCAAACACATGTGGTTTTCTCGTATATGCAACTTTATAAAATTATATTTCAAATCTTGAATTGATTGAACGTATAATAAGGTTTCAGGAGGTAAAAACGAAGGTGAACTTCACAGTAGCGATATTAAACTAATACCGTTTCGAACTGCACACATCGATCACTTTAATCCCTTTTCCCTTTAATCCCTTTTTTGAAGTTGTTTTGTTTTTGCCGCGAATACACGCGTCTCGAGTGCGGTCCGCTAGTTCGGTATATATTTCCTACAATTGAAGTGTTGTAACAACAAAAAGTTCTTAAATGCGGTGGAATATAATGTACTCACTTGGAGCGATAAAGAGCTGCAGCCGATAAGTGTTATTTTTTAAAAAATTTCATTTTAAATTATTCAACTTTTTGAATTTACATATTTTGTTTTTATTCTTATTGAATTTGTTTGACTTTGTGCGCTTTTTTGTTTTGCAAAATAATTGCACACATATAAAATCAGCTGATAGAGACAGCAATTGAAATTATTAAACAGAAACATTATAAAGTGAATAAGTGTTACAAAACGATCAAATAATTAGATCAATTGTTACACAAAAACCTAAACAATCGTGTAATCTTGTACACTGATTTAGCAATTTAGCAGAATATTTTAATTTAATTAGCAAATTTTAAATTTATTAGCAAATTTTAATTTTTACTTGAATTTGGAATTTTGAGCATTTGAAATTTACAGGTATTAAATTATTTTAATTTAATTAATTTAGGATACCCTTTTAATTTAATTAAATCTAATTAAATTAATAGGGTATCGAAAAGGTATGAGTGGGCAAAAAACATCACCTCTGCGGAAACAAAACGCAGTACAAAAAACAATGGAGAAGGAGGTATTAAACATACCTTTATCTCCCAAGCCTGATGATAGTGTAGAGGATAAGCTGGTACAACTATCTGCGATGATGGAATCACAAAGGCATATTAATAAGGATATGCGGGATCTGCTTGCACAGATAGTTAAGATGTATAAGATGGAACAAGAAAGGGGGCCACAAGTGCCGTTGGTGGCTAAGAGTGTAGCTTCCATTAGCGTGCAAACTCAGGGAGCACTAAAGCGTGCTGCGAAAGAAAAACCGAACGGTCCACCACCCAAAGTTCAAATTAGAGAAATTGGAAGTAAGGAGCAGGAAACGAATTTTCACAAATGGCAGCTAGTGCAAAAGAAAAAAGGGAAAACTGTGCCAAATCTGGACCTCATTAAAGCGCCTAGAGTAAAACCGGAAGCAATTCTCATTAGTAAGACGGCAGACAAGTCTTACGCTGAAATGTTAAAGATCATTAAAACAAAACCAGAGCTACAAGAATTCGGAAAAAACGTAAACAAAATCCGAAAAACTAAAGAGGGGGAAATATTGATTCAGCTTACCAAAGAAGCTGGAAATTTAGCGAAGGACTTCTGCAATGAAATGAAAAATACACTTCAGAATTGTGCTAGTGTAAAATCTTTAACACAGCACACCCTAATAGAATGCAGGGATTTGGACGAGATAACATCCAACGAAGAGGTGCGCGCGGCGATTGCTGATCAATTTCCAGCAATAAATGTAAGTGACATCAACGTCAAGTTTTGGCGTGCCGCAAGGGACAGCACAAGATCAGCAATTATTGACCTTCCTACTAAGGATGCCAGTGTATTGATCGCAGCTGCCTCAGTCAGAGTTGGCTGGGTACGCAGTAGGATCAGAAAGCATATCACACCCATGAGGTGTTTCAAATGTCTTCAATTTGGACACGCTGCTAGACAGTGCAAAAGCGATAATGACAGATCAGGCACATGTATGAGATGTGGACAAGATGGCCACAGGGCAAAAAC